ACACACACACACACACACACACACACACACACACACACACACACACACACACACACACACACACACACACACACACACACACACACACACACACACACCAGCGACGAAAGTCTTGAAATGAAAAAGAGACGAAAGAAGTCCCAGGTCAGACTGACCTACAAACTTTGGTACATACTATGTGACCTTGGGTTGGACACTGGGTTGACAGTAATGCTTCAAATAAATAAGATAAAGTGTCAGATCTTATTGCTGCATGTGTAAATATCACAAAGTGACATGTATTAATTTATTGTTCGTGTCGATCATAAAATGCCTTCTCATTGTGGGTGCCTAACGGAATGTCCTCGGTGTGTCCAGAATACAGACCCAGTATATTGTTAAACTTTGCTTATCTTTGTTCAACAGAATCTCATGATCATGTGCTCTCTAGAATACGTTAGAATCAAACCCTTCAGTTCATGTTAAGATTTATGTTTGACTATGTATTTCCAAATTTCTACAAATTGTCTCTTTTCATATTCTTAAGTTGTTTTTTTTTTAAATTAGATTGCTCCAACATTTCTTCATTTAGTTCTTTCTTCTTTGTCTCTCTCTCTCTATCTCTCTGTCACTCTCCCTCTTTCTTTTCTATCAGTGTCACTCTCCCTCTTTTCTCTATCTCTCTCTCTCTTTGTCACTCTCCCTCCCCCTCTCTCTCTGTCTATCTCTCTCTGTCACTCTCCCTCTTTCTTTCTCCCTGGGTCACTCTCCCCCTCTTTCTTTCTCTCTCTATCTATTTCTGTCACTCTCCCCTTTCTCTCTCTCTTTGTCTCTCCCTCCCTCTCTCTCTGTGTCACTCTCCCTCTTTCTCCCTCTCTCTCTCTCTCTATCTATCTCTGTCACTCTCTCTCTCTCGTTGGCATGAAAATGTAGAGACCTAGTAGCTTGCTGTGACTACAATAAGTATTAGAATCACCAACGCAGTATTACGACGATGCTCAAAGCAGATGTTCTCGTATTGAATTTATTGTATTACAAATTTTAATAGTTTAAACTGTGACAAGAGTACTCAGGTTCAGAAACTTTCAATTTATCTCCCTTGCTGTTCGACACTCTAATTTCTACGAATGGCGAGGTTGTTTTTTTTTTTTATGCATGACCTTTACCCTTGATACACTGCAGTGGACTGGGTGCAGTGGACTGGGAGCAGTGGACTGGGAGCAGTGGGTGCAGTTAGCTGTGAGCTGTGGCGTTTGGTACTGAATTCTGAGCTTTGTCGAAGAAGACGCTATTGAATCATTTCCACTGTACTACTTGTCTTGAAGAACGTCAAGTCAAAGGAGGTCATCTAATAACGCCCCCCCCCCTTCCATTGATCCATGAAGAAATTCTTCAAAGCATAGTTTATAAAGTAAAGAGCTGAACTTTCTGTTGGGGTTTTATTGAGATGGAGGAGGAGTGGGGTGGCTGAGTGCTAAAGTGCTTGGCTTCGAACCGACGGGTCTCAAGTTTGAATCCTGGTGAAGACTGGGATTTTGAATTTTGGGATTTTTAGGAACCCCCTCCCTCGTTTTCATCCAATTCTAATTGATACCTAACATGAAATGAGAAAAAACGTTGAAAGTGGTATTGACCACAAAATACCCTCGTTAGCCGTAGGCTAGAGTAAACAGACGTCGTATTTATTGCAAGGCCTGAGATGACACAAACTCTCGAGATTAAAATGCTAATTAATAAAATTTTGTTATAGAGTAAAACGTTCCTCTTTCAGACCCGCGTAGGGCAGATATATAAAGGTCGTCTGTTTCTGTGGTCCATGGATAACGTGGGTGTCTTGTGGCCAGCACAACGACCGATCGCCTTTACTTGACCCCAACAAATGTCAGATACACATTAGAGCTGTGTGTGGACGTCACCGGGATTCGAACTCGGAACCCCCGGTTCGGTAGCCAAGCGCGACTCTTTGTTGTAGAGTAGACACATTTAATAACACATTAGTTGTTGCTTTTCTAAGTTATAGTCAATCTAAAAAAAAAAGGAAAAGTATTGAATAGTAAACTTTTTCATTCAATCATAACACTGGGCAATAGTAACTAACGTCTTTATAGAGATTTAGAATAATCCTAAATGATTAAAAGTCGATATACAGGTGGAGGGGCAGACAAAGGAATCGATGGGAAGACAAAATAAAGAATAGAGAGGAATGGAGAGAGAAGGTTGTCATATCATTTGTGTTGCCTCAACAGTCTAACAGACTTAGGAATAGGAGAAGATAATAGGAAAGTGGAAAATAAGTTGACTTTAGTTATAAAATATTAAGACTGTTTTAATGTATACTTTTTGTTTCACTAGATAGAGATAAGAATGTTCTGCATGACATTTTATTGTGTGGTTAAAATGTATTCCTTTAATCTTAATTGTAATCATCTTTTTTTTGAAGTAACGTCTGTAGCATATAAGATAAGATAAGAATTTGCGCACTATATATTATTACTAACCCTAACCCTAAATCTTATCCTTAATCATCAGGAACTACTGCATACATTAATCCAAATAACAGAAAGTTTGGCCAAGTGAAAAATATGTTCTCTGTACCCTTAATAATTAAAATTGTCGCTCTCTTTAACTCATACTTAATTCATAACCCATGACATAGTCAACCACCATATTCACAATGGGAGTGGTAGGTTCCGGACGTTTAGATCATGACTAACTACCCATATCTCGTCATAGATAGTAATGAACTAGTGTTAGTAAAGACAGCTCAGAAGTCATGCTTTAAATCTAGAATCAAATATCTATAGAATTACGTCACTAGAGTTGAGAATATACCATGAGATAACTAGCTAACTCTACAATACTTACATTCAAAGATTAATCCAAATGAAATTGAAAAAAAAAAATCCACAAAACTGTTCAAAACTGTATCCTAACAGCCAGAGCTACTCCAGAGAAAAAAAAAAGGTCCTTCTCTTGTGACTTGAAGCCTGATGGCAGGTCACGTAACTGAGGCCCAGAAAGTGAATCAAACAAAACATCAAGAAATAGAAGGACCAGATGCGGGCCAGAGTTCTCGTCCTGTGAAAACTTGTGGTAGAAAACTTTGGGTCTGGCGTACAACTCCCTCCACATGGGACTGGCTGGAAAGGAGGAAGGAATATTATAAAGGAAAAACTTTCGAAGCGCTAACACGACCGTGCTTCAAGTGTTTGGCTATACTCTTCAAAAGTATATTGAACAGCTAGATATAAATATTATGTTCATTATTCAGTGCTTTTTTTAGAGGAGGAAATAAGAACTATAAAAAAAAATTCCTTCATCTGCTGGTGTACATTTAGTTGTCCACACACTCATGTTCTAGAAGGGTTCTCATTCTCAATGTTTTCAGGCTACACATCATAATACTGTGTCCAACGCACTGTAGCGATGTGTCCGACCCACATAAGAACTGTGTCTGAAACACACTAACAAAATGTCAGAATTATTGCCGCACTAGGTTCCCATACACCTTAGCACTTGGTCTGAAATAAGCATGACTTCGACACTGTTCCTCATGGAATACTAGCATTGTATCCTTAGCACATTTAGACACACCCAAAGTGTCAATCCGTTCAGCACATAACCACACTTTGTTGATTAGCGTGTTGTTGTTCTTGCCCTGCACCAAGCAGCAGTCTACTATTACTTGTAACACACTTCAATTAACAAGTTGGTACAAGTTGTTTACCGATACACACGTTTTAAGACAGTCACTAAACAATCTCCGCTTCATTTTGGGGCCCGGAGTAGAACGCCCATCCACGATCACGCTCCCCGAGTTCGCCACTTGGTGTGAGCAGGGGAAGGGGGTCACAGTGTCTCAGAGTGAGTACACTGCTCCCTAAAGCATTGTACTGTGTATGAGTGATGTGCTCAGACTATGCTCAGAAATGTGTATATAAGATGCATACTAGCAGTCCGGTACGCAGCGTACTTGTGGAAGTTTTCTGTACTGATTTATACTTGTGAGTGGTAAGGTTCTTGTTGAAATATAACGTCAGCAAGAGACAGACTGACAGACTGGCTGGAATGAAAGATGCATTGAATGGAAATACTGCAGTTTATTACTACTCCAGTTAATTAAATGGTATGAATGAAAAGATGAGAGAGAGAGAGGGGGTTAAAACATGTTATAAAAATGGAAGAGGAAGACGTTTTCGAATCAGCTGATCAGACACCAGTTGGACTTCCGTTCCCTCCCTTGTCCCAGTTCCCACTAGTCACGTACCTTGCTCTGTGCCCTCCTCCCCGTGGTTGTTGGTGACTGGGAGGGAGACAGGGAGCAGTGAGCGACTCATGGGTAGACTTGGTTTTCCTTTGAAGTCGACCACCCTCTTTTTCCATATATGCCTCTCTCTCTCTCTCTTTCTCTCTCTCTCTCTCTCATTCCCCTCCCCCATATATCTCTCATTCCTTTTTATGCTTTTCTTAGACAAATTATTATCTGAGTTGCTTCCCCTTGATTTAACTGTTCCTTCTATTCTAGCGCCTACAGCTTCTACTCGGGTGTAATAAAAGGGAGCCGCGGTGAGTTAGGGTGCAACAACGCCCCTGGGGTGCGAGAACAGGGACGGGAGAGGGGGAAACAGCGATAAGTGAAACGTGTGACCTTTATGAGTACATCGTGATATAATGCTGGTGTATTTGTAATATGTTAGACACCTTTTTTTTATAGTATTAGTTATTTAGCGACGCACCATAGAAGACGTATATTGAACGGGACTAGTGACGTTTGGGATATTTTGTGTTAGAAACCGGAAAATCAGTTAGCGATAGAATTCTCTAGGGTAAAGACGTGTTTATTTTGACATAGACTTTTACTGTGGCCTTTTCTTAGAATAACTATAGTATGAACTGTTCCTCAGTGTTGACCACATCTCTTGACTCGTTGCATCCATCGTCTTGTTTATTCTGTAGTGTTGATCAACTACATTGAATACACCCGAACAATAAAACTCAAACGCTTGCAGAGTAATTAATTGAAATTCAACAGTCATCTATAGTTGAGCTCAAGACAGCCTGAACAAGTACATCACAGTGGCGACCCCGAACCTCGAAGCCGAACCTTGAACCGGACCTCGAAGCTGAACGTTTGCTCAGGTGAGGGTCGTGCACTCGAAGATATAAAGTTTCATCGGAGTACGGCTGAACACAGCATCATCGCAGAGTGACTTTGTTTTAAGCTATGTCGTCAGTTCTACATGCATCCGTCGCCTGCTCGATCGTACGTTCAACGAGCTATTATCTCAGGGTGACTTTCGTCAGGACAGTGATCATCTCAACGTCTGGTCTACTAAACGAGTATATTATCAATGCCTGATCTTCGTATGCTGAATCCACCTGAAACCAGAGGAACCGTTCATTCATAACGGGTGAGAGTTTGTCAGTAAACCTGTTGGACATATTTTTTCTTCGCTTGTGAAAACAGTCGTAGGAGCCACATAGTCATATCAAGTTTTACCTCGTCAGTTTTGAGAAGAACAGTTTGTCCACTGTTGGAAGTTATTGTGAGTACTACAGGTTTGTTAGCTAATTAAATCGCTCTGTCTTACCCTTTGAGAGATTCTTGTGGAGCAGTTTGCTCATTGAACCGGTTGCGACTAGTATAACGGTCACTGCATTTAACCTTTGGAAGGTTAGTGAATTCGTATTTGTCGTTGCTGAACATTGATCTATTTATTATACGTTGGTCTAGACCATATCTAGACTTGTTAGTGCTGAAGTAGTGGAAACAGCTACATCCACTTATTTTTTGTGAAAACCGTTAATCGTATAACGGAACGTCGTCTTAGGTGACCTTGGTCTCACATAGTCTACATTGGACATTACGGACATTTTGGTCTAGTGAAGCAGCAAACTTCGTCGTACTACCAGATTAGCAGCGGAAGCAGTGAACTATTTTAGAGAATCGTTATTCGTCAGCCCAGATCAAGTCATCGTCAAGAAATTCGTTATTCGTCAGTCGCCCAGATCAAGTTGCCGTCAAGAGACTGTTATTTGTCAGTAGTTGTCTACGCAAATCAAGTCGTCGCCAGGAGAACCGTTAACCTATTCGTCAGTAACTGTATACACAAAGTCGTCGGAACTACACATACGGTTATCAACAGTCGTCTAAGAAACTGAAACATTTTGCTGTGGCATATCAGGACATCTGGGGCATTACGTGGGATACTCGACACGGATTGTATCCACTGGCAGCACCGGAGAACAAAGTCAGAACTGGAAGCGAGGCAGTGGAAATTGCTGTAGATCTATCATATTCGGGAATCCGAGCATAGGAATCTTTCTTATCAAGCTAAGTGCCATTTTTCTTATTAGTATATGTTTAGATTGCCCTTAGAAATAGATTTTGTCTAAATTTGGTACGTTAGCCTGAGTAAAATCAGGTGGTGCGCCTTAAACTGTTGGGGAAAGACGTAAATTAGATGAAAAGCTATACTATACGTTAGGGATAGTGATTGGTTTTGTTTGTGTAAACGTCATATCCGTTGTCGCTTGGTTACTTCGTGACGTTATCAATGTGTGCCATATTGTCATATCCCAACCCATAGCGATAGTCTCATTTAATTATTTCATTTGAGTATATGATATTATATTATTTATTTGTTATTAATTTAATTAGATCTGTTATTTTTTCACTTAATGATAAAAAGTGCAGGTATTGTGAATTAGACTAAAATACATTTTTTGTTTGAGCGGTTAAAATCAAATATGATTTTGCCATGAGAATAATGCCGAAACTGGCATAGTAGTCAAACATTGTCGTCTGGCTATTTAGATCCACAAATTCTTGTACATTTCGTTTGTACATCTAGACTCTAATTTTGAATATTAATTTGAAAGATCAATGAAGGTAGTACATTCTAGATATATATCTTGTTAAAGATATATTTGATACATATTATAAGGACATATTTATTTCATATGGTTACATAGAACCATAATTTCTGGATTAGATTTAGATCTATCTAATCTAGACTTCACTGTCTTCATTGACTTCAGACACTTCAAACTTCAGACTTCAGTCATATCAAATTTGAAATTGGTCATAGTTATTCATACTCATAGTCATAGTGCTCTTGGTAACTCTAGATCTATAATTATTTAATGATCGAGTAGCATCTACGATTGTTTTGATCTACAGAATCTGTAGAATACAGAATCTGGTGGAACCTATCTTAAACTTAAAACGTATAAAATTGTGTAAAAACTTAAATATAAAAACAAGTTTAAAGTATAGCCTTAACAATATAGGCTAAGTAAATATATATATAAATTTGAGTGAAAATATAATACAATGGCTTCATCATCATATGTGGACCTTAAGGAGGTCAAGGAAGCAGCCGAGCAAGATGGAAAAGCAATGGAGTTAAAAGGAAAGGATTTAGCGGCGTATGTACAACAAATTGTGAAGGAAGAAATGGAACGTCAAAGACAAGAGATAGAGAGACAGAAAGAAGAAAAAAGACAAGAGATAGAGAGACAAGAAGAACGTCAAAGACAAGAGATAGAGAGATTGGATAGAATCAGAAGGAGTACCAAGAAAGGCAGGACAAAGAGAGAGAAAAAGCCAGAGAGCATGAGACAAAAATGGAAAAGATGAGATTGGAGGCAGCTCAAGCCACAACTCAAGCATCAGCTCAAAATGCACAGACAACTCAAGGAAATAACACAAATAATTCAAATAATGTTACCACACAAAGAGACAACCCTAATTCGCAAACATGGCTAAAGAGGAAGATACAAAGCTTTGATGAACAGAAGGACGACATTGGTGATTTTCTGAAAAGATATGAGGCAAAAATGTCTACATTTAATATGCCAAAGGAAGAATGGTCTGAAATACTGATAGACTTCATCCATGGTCAAGCTATAACAATATGCCAAAATCATGACCATCATATTGATGATAGCTATCAAGTCTTGAAAAGAGAGTTGTTGAATGCCTATAGTCATAATGCTACAACTTTCAGAAAGAAATATTTTGATAATGTACCATCATTAGAAATAGAACCCCAAACTACCATTAATATGGAGAAAGATTTTTTCAATAAGTGGGTAAAGTTAGAAAAAGTGGTAAATTCTTATGAGGGATTAAAAAATTTCATTCTGTTAGATAACTTTATTAACAAGTGTGATCCCCAACTTCAATCATTCTTTAAAGAGAGAAATCTTAAATGTTTAGATGAAGTAACAGAAATAATGAGAATTTATAAAAATGCTTATCAACTAATCCATTCTCTACTAAAGATAAGAATAAGGTAGATTTAATAGGATACACAAGTGAGAAAAAAGTCAGAAGAAATAATAGATATTCTAGAGAAACTGAAGATAGGTTTGAAAATAGAAATAGAGATAGAAATGGAAGATCAAAATCTAGAGATAAAACTGGGCGAAATGGAGTTAAACACTGGTGTGAGTAAGAGTAACTTGACCATTTTACTTGTGAAATAACAAGTTTGGTTCAATGTATGTGTGTCTGGACACACACGCGCGTGATGGAATGTGTTCTGCATTTAATGTTGCTTTAGTTCAAACCCTGTAGACGTTCTGTCGTCTCAAGTTAACTCATGTTTCACTTTCTCAGAATCACATTATTAAAACTAACATAGATGTCTGCTATAATCTCTATGGTTAGGAAAATCCATTTTTACTGTCTCTCTCTCTCTCTCTCTCTCTCTCTTTCTCAAACACACACATAATACTTATTTTCAATCTAGTCTAGGGGTGGGCAAATAATGGTTCGCGAGCCAAATGCGTCTCGCCAGAACGTTTTAAGCGGCCCGAGAATACCGCAGGAAATCTGTTGTATCCATGTGCCATAAGTTTAAAAAATGCATATATCTATATTATTTCTGTATATTATATTAAAAATAAATCAATTTCAATATCTAAAAAAGTTTGGAAACTTCTGTTTCCAGTTTAAATTTTTTTTTTTTTTTTTTTTCAAGAAAAGAAATTGGCTATAGGTCGAAATATTCAGATTCGAATTGCGTTTTTGCTCAGCGGAAGTCGTCTTCACTTTGACTTAAAAACTGTGTAAATAAAACTATTTTAATATTTCAGTAGGGTTAGAGTTAAAACGATGGAAAACAAATTCTTTTTACTAACCTTCACGGTAGAGCAGTGTGTGTGTGCTTCAGGTGTTGTGAACCGATCGCGGATTTTAAAGAGTACGATTTAAAATGACATCATGACCTGGTTTCGGAGGCAATCTCACAAATGAAGAAAGGAAAATGAAAAGCTAGGAGCTTATAAACTGAGGAAGCAACAAAACTATCCTCATTACAAACTAGCAACAGAGGCATGATGTTCCGGAAGTATAGAACTAGCTTACTAGTTGTTCTCCCTGTGACTGCTGTTAAATTACAGTCAGTCAATATCGACCAATTCTTACACTTGTTTATTTTCAAACAAGAAAATTGTTGTTCATAAATGTCTATGGACCCAAAAAATCTTAAAGTTTAGCATCAAAGTTTTTTTTTGTTTTTTTAAGTGTGTAAATACAGTTTCTGGCACCCATAAAATTCCTGCAGAAAGAACTCACTGGAACTTCTCTTTCAGGCCATAATTTTCTTGGAGGTATCTATTAGGGAACTGAATCAGTTTCTGCACTAAATGGTGAGATGAGGGTATTAAAAACTGGTTTCAAGTTCTATGACGTCTTAAAATTTGCTTACAAATTCCACAACAAAGGAATCCAAATTAGTCTTGTACTTTTTAACCGTTTTACTATTAATAGTTTCACCATTCAACAACGGAAAATGACAAGACCTGTTTTTATTTGCTTGCCTGGAGAAATGGACAAGCTTTATTTGAAAAGATTTAACATGCACATGCATTTCATTTGAAAACAACCCTTTGCAAAACTTCCGATGAAAAATATGAAGTTTGTCTTCCACTCTTCATTAGAAATATTAGTAGCAACATCACAATCAATGTCTTTCAGGGAACATAACAATTTCTTCCTTGATAGGCCATATTCTTCTCAATACTTTGCCCATTCTAAGCCTACTAAGGTACCGAACATCAAAATGTTTTGTCTTCAAATCTTCA